GCTCATCCCTGTGCATATTTTTGCAAAAACGGAAAAGTTTGAGATAAATCTCCGACTGTGTTACAAATATCAAAATGTGAGTTAAGGTACCGGTACTTTCACTCAACCGACGTTCAACTCAACGCCATACTTTCCTTGCAATTAAGTTTACTGTTTGTGACATTTCGCCTCCATAGTAACCACTTGCAATAGTGCACGAGGAGCCCTCGTGCGGTTCAATTTACGCAAGTAATATTTGTGCTGCCTGTCGGATATTAAATATATTAAATTATATTTCTATATAGTGTGATTGATATTTTTTCTCCACGAAATGCATTTATTCGAAGTGCTCATGATAAATATAATAACAAAAATAAAACATACGAGCAGGCGTTTCAGAACAAAATCGAATCAATACGTATCCAGGAGTCTTTTAAATCTTTAATTTATTATAGGAAATATGATGTTCATATATTTGAGCATAGCTCTCTTGTTCTCTATGCTTTTGATGTCACTAAATGAACTTGATAATTGCTTCTCATCCGTTTAATGTAAGTGTGCCATCTATTTTAAAATAATCAAGGTATTTGTTTTAATTTTATTTTTATTTTCAGTTGTTATGTCATATTACCTGCCATTACACAGTTGCTTGGATAAACGTCTCTTCAGAGCGCAAGTGAAAAAGTAGGAAATATTTAAACAATTGCATATTGAGGGCTCTAACCGAAAATAGCGAAACTTGAAACAACTGTTTGAGAAAATGACAAAAATGTATATTTTCAATTCTTGAACCTCTTTATGATTTTTACTAATATACTTTGGTGAATTTTGATTTAACTATATTCAGATACAGACTTTCAAAATTATTTTTTTTTGTTATATTTTCAAATACAAAGTTTTTCGAAATTTCAACACTCGCCCTTTTGCCTCGAAACCCTCGATATGCTAAAGGTCAGATGGTATTACGTGGAAGCTTTGAGTGAGTGACCTTTTATTGGCAAAACTGGTCAACACATCTGAAAAACAAGGTCTCGAAATGGTTAAATTGAAAAATTGAAATATTTCCAATGTTTTGAAAACGATAAAGCCGGTATTTTCCCACGCATTGACGTATATTATGGGTAATCGGCCAGTAATTTTTGTGCCATTTATGCGTGTAGCTAACATTTTTATGTTCCAAAGGTCCATTTTAAATGTGTTTATAACAGTTGAAAAGCAATTTTATTTGACAGTTTTCTTCTCCAGAATTGACATGAGCATTACTCAAAGAAGTTTAATGATTGGAACGAAAATTGTGTTTGATATTTTAAAAGAAAATTATATTTTTGCAATATGGAGAATCTTCATGTTAAAATGTCATGACATTATTATCAAATGAAATGAAAATGTCGTGTTTTCAAGATTTTCGTAAACCTACCTTTATTATCTTTTTAAAAATATGCAGACGAAGGTCATATAAACTCAACTCAACTAACTGAACTGGAGTTTCTTAATAATGCTATGAAACTGTTGATGACAATAATAATAATAGGATAGGATTCACATCATCATATGGCGAACCACGGCCTCTCGTCCGTTTACCAGTCCATGTCGGGTATTGAATTAGTTAATCAGTTATTTGTTTTCAGAAACATGGACTTTAAGCTGATAGTTGGGACGTTGCCGATGTTACGATACTAACCTTGGGAACCGTCATGATCAAATTTCATAGCATTATTATCAAATGTAATTAAATGATCTGCTTTGAGAGATTTTAGTAAATTTACTTTCATTACCTTTTTCTAGATTTGCGGAAGAAGGTCATATAAACTCAACTGACCTAACTAAACTGAAATTTCTCTATGTCATAAAACTTTTGATAACGATAAGCTGATGATTGGTACTTTGGCGTTGTTACGTTACAATACATTAAATTTCATGGCAATATTGTCAAATGAAATGATGTTTTGGAGATTTTAGTAAACATACTTCCATTACATTTTTCGAGAATTGCAGAGGAAAGTCATATAAACTTAACTGAAGTTTCTTTATGCCATAAAACCTTTGATAACGATAAGCTGATAATTGGGACTTTGACGTTGTTACAAGACTCGAGAATCGTCATGGTCATATTATTATGAAATGATCTCTTTTTTAGATTATCGCAAACTTACTTTTATTCCGTTTTTCAGGATTTGCGGAGGAAGATCGTATAAACCCAACTAAACTGGAGCTTCTTTTATGCCATAAACACACACAGCCAAAAGATTAGTTTGGAAAACAAAGATCATCTTCCAAACAGAAAGCTTTCGTACGGTCCAAGCTAAATTTACTATTGATGGTGATCTAATGGTCTTTTGGAAGCTAGTTAAAGGCAAAGATAATGAAAAAAATATTTAAAATAGGACAATTAGCAAATTGATGTTGTGTTTGGTAATAAACATTTATTTTAAATATATTTTACATTTATTTGATTCCATTTATCACTGTATTATGCAGAGGTGTGCAAATTTGTTTTTCGTCGGGACATATAACCAACTTAGTACAAACTGTAAACTGTCGGATTAGGATTTTATGCTTGATGGGGGAAAATGTAAGCAGTGACACTGAATCGCTTGGCGGACCGGGTTGTTGCACACCCCTGGTATATTGTATATTGCAAAATACAAACCATAACATAGGAAAACTAACATTTTGCTTTTATCTCAGATCTAACGGATTTTAAAAATGTGCCCACCATGTGCATGGGCTTTTCAATCAATGGTTAGTTCTGTCATAAAACTCTCTTAAAAGTTTGTAATAACGAGTCTGTAATATGTGAGAATTGATTTTATGTGTCCTTATGACATTTCGATATTATTTTAAATAAATCCGAATAAAACGCAAATTTTACCTACTTATTTCACCCGTACAATGAATTCCTATGTGAAATTTTTATTCATGCGTCTTCATTACATTTCGAAATTCTTTTAAATAAAATTCAAATGAAACGCAAATTTTATAAATTCACTTCACTCGTCCATTATCTCTATGTGAAAATTTTATTTATGCGGCTTTATAACATTTCGATATTCTTTAAAATAAATTTCAAATAAAACACGAATTCTGTATATTTTATTTGTCTGTTCAATAAATTCTATGTGAGAATTCTATTCATGTGTCCTTATGACATTTCGATTCAAATAAAACGCAAATTTTATCATATTTACTTAACTCGTACATTAAATTTAAATAACTATGTTTTTTTTTTCTGATAAGATCGTAACCTCCCATTATTGAGCTGCGATTTTGCGTAACCACACATAATTTACTTTGATGTTTACATGTTGCAAGATTTAATTTCTCATTTTAACAGTACAAATTTCACGGCTTGTCAAGTAGACTGACATTTAGGAGAATGCAATTGCCTGCATTTCGTGTTTACGCATAATACCATATCATTGTCGTATCTATGCAAAATGGCGCCCATGGCAAAACTTTAAAATGCGCCTCCTCGATTATTATTGAGCTGCGATTTTGCGTAACCACAAATGATTTCTTTAATGTTTACCTGTTACACGATTTAATTTCTCATTCTTACACTTAAAATTTCACGGTTTGTCAAGTAGACTGACATTTGAGAGAACACAATTGTCTGCATTCCGTGTATACGCATAATATCGTATCAGTGGCGTATCTATGCCATTTTAGAAATGTTCCCCTAATTATTGACTGACAAATTTTAACGACTTTTGTTGAATTGGGAAACTTGTACGTTATTATTCGAGTGAAAAAATCGAGTTTCAATCAATTTCAAGTTGGAATCATTTTATTGAAATTATTTACGATTGAAATTAGTTTGCGTTTTTTTGCGCCCCCATCCAAACGGCGCCCATGTTATTTTTACCTGGTGAAAAAAAGTAAATTTGACTATGACTTCAAAATTTCCTACCCACAATTTGCTGAATTTCAAACATTGCTTCACCATTTGAATTTTCTCAAGGAAATTCATCCTCGCGAATACTCAACCAAAAAAGAAAATATCGGTACTGCTTTTATGTTTATATGTTTGAGCATTATTTAATTTAACCACGTATCAAGTTGCAATTGGATATCTTCCTAAAAATAATTTGAGATAACATCCGTAATGCATGCTATTTACTAGATATATTGAACGTTATTCTGCGTGGATATAGTATGGGGGTTATCAAGTTGAATTGTTGTATTTTAAAACTATTTGCATAACATTAATAAAATTATTTTGTGCAATTTTTGTAGTTAACCTACACACAGTTATTCGCCTTTCCCTTCTGCAGAAAAACAATATTGCTTTCAATATTTTTATTTAGATGAAATTCAAGAAAACGTGGTAAACTCGTTTTTAGTGTAAAAAATACCCAGTGTTTTTCAGTGTAATAGAAAAGATTCCTAAGTTTGCTTATTTGTCTGCATACATGTGTTATAAGTTATCAGATCGCATTTATGTGGAAAGCACTTCATTAGTACACTCTAAGAAATATTTACCGGCAATCGCCTGGCATTACATATTACTGGAATGTAGTTGTGAAATTTTAATGCGATTTTAAGGTAAATATCACAAGAATTTTCGGTAAAATCGCTGTTGAACACCTGTGAATTTTACAGGATTTTCCCAGTAATCCTTACAATTATTTTCTAGTAATTTTCACCGGCAATGCGTAGTAATATTTACCGACGCTAGCCTGTGAATTTACATTACAAATTCGGTGAATTTACATTCAGAACTCGGTAAAAAGTACCGTAAATCTCCTGGCATTACATTTTACAGGACATGATCAGTAAAAATCACAGACTATTCTATGAAACAAGGTTTATTCAAAAAATAAAAGTGAACGTGAAATGAATGATTGAAAACTTGGAAAAATGAGAAATTGTATAGTGAAAAGTTAGAAATGCGAGGTAAACAGAAACTTCTCGTTGAAGAAGTTTATGCTCGCAGGGTATTCGTTCACATAGTCACTTTAAACAAGTCTCTATAGACAGCCTCTAAGAGAGAATAGTCTATGGCAGAGGGGGAGTCTTTCCGGGTTAGTGTTGCCCATGCTGATTGTATTGCATTATCCATTTGCTTTGAAGAACTCATGGTATTTTCTTCTCCATAACTTCAAGTTATCTGAAATGGAATGTACAAAGAGTTTTACCCAAACAACTCCAAAATTTAAAAATATTACCTAATTTTCGAATAAGATTTAACATTTTGTAGTATTCAATCAATCAATCTAATTCTTTTGCAAGTTGGAAATATCTGAAATTATTCAATTGCATATACTAGCATTCATTACAATATCCCACCTTTCTATAAATTTTCATATTTTCTTTTCCTCTTGGAGTTCATGGACAAAAATCTGTGGGCAATCAATCGATACAGACTTTTCCAGTATTACCAAACTTTGTAGATGAGATGGAAGAGGTAGGCTACCTGAAATAGTATTGAAATGGAATAAATTATTCAGAAGTCCCTAAATAATAAAAATTACACTCCTAATACTTTATTGTCAGAGCAGATGACAAAGTTTCTCTTTTAACAATTTAAAATTAACATTATAACTAACCTCAAATTCTTCTTCCTTGAAATAACATGTTAGTAAGAATCTCAAATATTATGAAGCCTTAGACATTGACATTTTCATAGTTCAGAGTTGGGGCAAACAATTTGTTCATGCCTGCATAATCAGATTCTTCAGTTTTTAAAAAGAAAACACTGTTAAAAAGGATTGTATTCATTCCCCACCATCATTATATGTAATATGTTCAAATTCGGTCTTATTCAAAAGAGAAATTAAACAAAATTTATAGAATTGGTTTTGGTAAATATGCAGAATAAGGTGGATAAATGTTGTTTTGATTAATTTTCTATTTATAGTGTCATAAGTTAAAAGAAAATCTAGTGTTTTTATGACAGTTAAATGTGAATTGCCTAAAATTGCTCTTTTTCAAATGAAACTGTTCTGAATTAGTCCTAGAATCAATAACTTAAAATATCAAAATCAAATCTGTCTGTCTGTAGATGATTTTCAATCACTGAATCAGTATATAATTATATGAGTAGGCCTATATAATTAATTGATACCTGTTTCTTTTAATGCCACATTCTTCAAGTCACGGTTTCTGGGTGTAGAGCAACGTCACCCCCTCCCCAGTCTGCCTGTTCATGTGTTTCCTGTAGTCCAGCCTGCCAGTAGTCTGAGTTTGCGATCATCATAAAGCTGTTGATAATTTTGACGGTTTACAGGTTTATCTTGATTCAGTAATTAGATGCTAACATTTCATAGTCTAGAGCTGTAAAATGGGCATATTCAGATATTGTATTGCCGTTTCGGCATTTTAACATTTGCCAGTCTACTGACAAAAAAATTCAGATTTGGAAATACGAATCAAGCTCTGGCTGTAGTATCGACAGGCGTAACATCGATCTGCGGATGTACTGATGTAAGCTAGTCCAATCAACCTTATACCAGTACCGTATACTGCTGTACTGTTATAGCCAGTATGTATTCATATTATCATATATATATATATTAATTCAGTAATTGAAACGATAGATCTTACTCTACTTCCCGACTGTCCCATACTGCCATAATCCCACTGAACAATACATTAATACCCAGCACTAAACAACACAACACTTACACTGACATTATTGAATCCAAGATGGCTTACAGAAATACTGCCAACGCAATACTGCAGTAATTACAAAAGCGACCAAGATATGACTGTCGGCCGACCAAATATCAAAATCCAAAAAGTCTGGAATTCGTCAAATCAAACGGACAAATTAAGGAGTAAAGCAACAAAAAAAACGCGCGTGATCAATTACGCGTTTGAAATATAGCGTCTGATTGGCTGCTCTCCTTAACCAGTGTGCGCGCGCAACATTGACTAATGCCACGCCTCCCATGTCGGTGATTATTACCGACATTTGTCGGTGAATCATTTTACCGACCTCATTTTTTAATTTTCTACCCCTAAAATGACGGTAAAATTTACCGAACATTTCTTAGAATGTACAGTTTATCAGACAAAATTCGCCATGCTAACGTTAATCGAACCCAACAAACAACAATTCATCCATGTTTCAAACCAGAAGCGGGATTCCCAAAGTTAGATGTTTATTTTTGTTTTTATATTTGTGTCTCATGCAAATAAACAGGTCATAACGATGTAAGAAAGAACACAAATAACAAAGATTTAATGTAGTCTTCTCTAAATAAACCCATTCAACAATGAATTTCCTCTTTATTCTAAGATAGAATAAAGGATTTCCGAGTTTGCATGTTTATTTGCGCGTTTATACGCACTGTTTGTGTTTATGTCGATGCGGAAGCTCTCCATTAAAACAGAATAAAGTGTTCCAGCGGATGTTGTGATGTTAATTAAACCAAACAAACGACTATTCATCCATTTAAAAAAAAAAAAGGAATTCCAAAGTTTGCTATTTATGTGTTTAGAATTTTAATCCATTCTATCAGATCATATTGATGTAAGAAAGAACACATAATAATAAAGATTTCATGAGATCTTTTATTGAGCCCAGTGATAATTATGATCCATTTATTCTTTATTTTAAAAGAATATCCAAGTTTATTTGTGTGTTTATAAAAACGATATCTAAATCCATTTAAAGACAATTCATCAATTACAAACATTGAAAGATTTCCAAGGTTAGTTGTTTATTTATGTATTTATTTGCTTTGTACATCCATTGATAAATGAATCAATAAAAAGTAAAACCATCCAATGTATATTGCCATACAATCTCTATTTAATGACATGAACGACAATTCATCGACATTTAATCAAAAAAAGGATTCCTAAGTTTAGATGCATATTTATGTGTTCATAATTGTAGTATTCATGCTGCGAGATCACGTTTGTGAAAGTAATTTTTTTGTGCAATCTTCAATTAAACCCATTTCCTAATTACTATCCATTTATTCTTCAATAAAATATAAGATATCAAAGTTTATTTTTGTGTTCATAAAACGATAATTATTTATCTCAGGTAATGGGAAAGCCGATATGACGGCTCAATCATATGGTGTACCACGGCCCCTCGTTCGCTTACCAGTCTATGTCAGATATGCGATTAATAGTCAGATATTTGTTTCAAATGCATGGACTTGATGGTAGAGGAAGCCGTAACCTACCAGCGGTTACGTGAACCACCCAACGAGGTGGCGAGTAGTCCAGCAATCCCCCCACACATAGGTATCACCCACAGGATTCGAACCTGCAAGTATAAAGATAGTTAGCCGTTGGTTACCGAAAACAATGAAATGGACTAATAGTCACTTCACGCACATTTACCAAAATGTAAAAATAAGATATTTGGGCACTTTTAGACAGCACTTATACATAGAGGAGCTAGTATGTATGGAGGAGAAGGGCTTGATCATGATAATGGAATTCCCGTAGGATGGGACAGGCATAAATTGCTTTGGGGTTGGGGAAGAAAAAAATGTCCCATGAACAAGCCCTGGTATTATGGGTTAGGCATATTTGACTAAGAGCAGAATGGCTTGAGTAAATCAATGCAATTTTTACACATTATCGCTTCAGATTTGAAATTTGTTGGTCCCGCAATTTGAGTCAAATGCCGCAAAGCGACGTTAAAGAAAACACAAATTGTTTAAACAATACACAAGGTAAGAACAACAATTCAACAGCAATTAAATATGCTTTGGAATTTTCGACACTTTTTCTCGTTATAAAAAAATCAGGATGATTTTTGGGCAAGCAAAAGCTTAACGTATGATCACGACGAGGTATATAGATAGCACTTTTGTGCTATATACTTATTTGAGCTTTGCTTTTTATTTTGTAATTTGCTGTTTACTAGACAAAGGTTGAACCTTTCTCAATTGACCTTTTTATTAGTGAAAAGTTTTATATTAATTTTACGGAGAGTTTTGTTGTACGGATTTAGACTATGAAATTTATTTATGTTCAAATTACGATTACAGTAACGCTAACATATATTATCAGTAATTTATGACACCTATTCAAATGTATAATTTCCGTGAAGGTTGAACCTTTCTTAATTGACATTTTCATCAATTAAAAAGTTTCGTTTCTATTTACTGCAAGTCATTTTATAACACCATGAAATTAGATTATAATATTTATCTGCCCAATGAAAGTCTAATTGACCTCACAATAACTGAAAACAAGTAATTCGTTAACAATTCATTCGCTACCCTCCATCAATTACGCTGATTAGTCCATCAATGTCACTGGAACCTTTCTTAATTGACTTTTGAAAAGTTTCGTTTCTATTTGCTACAAGTCATTTTACAACACCACAAAATTAGATTATAATATTTATCTCACGGTAATTAAAAGCAATGAATAAAGTCGTTAAAAACCTTTAGCCATCTTTCAACTTATGCGTTATTTATTCGGTACTCCCGAAGTATGGGTACCGGGTTTGGGTTATGCCATAATTTTATTCCGATTTTCGTTTTTTTAATTCTATTACGAGTTCGGGGACTGTCTGTGTTAGCCAAGTGAATATATCCCCTGCCTATAGGTTTCAGTCTCTTTACACAACTTGATGTGAAGTAGGCAAAGAAAACTATTGGTACACATACTTCTTCAATTAATCAGTCAATAAAGCTTATTTCAACTTTTCGTTAATAAAGTTCAAACTTTTAAATTTGAAATAGAATTTAAGCATTTTATCCAATCATTTATATCGTGTGGGTAACAGATTTATTCAGTCGTTTCATTTTTTTTCATGTGGAGGAAGTTTAATGAATTTAATTAATTTGAAAAGTGTGAAGTGTTTAGAATTTGTGAAGCGTACAGATTCATTTTTGTTTTATTTCCATCTATACAGATTTATGTCAGATTTATATATATATGTTTAATATAGCATGCGCTTTATCGCACAGTTTAATTAAATCGCTCTTGAATGCCCACATTTTAAATTAGCTATTAATGAATTGGAGTTTTATCCTTGTTATTGAAAAAATGACATAAACCGTTTTTTTTGTATTCTTTCTCTCTCTCACTTTCCGTTTCTCTCATTTCTTCCAACATTCCTTACCTAAAAGTAGACTTCAATCCTATTTTCGACACTTCGAATCTGACAAACAAACTAAGTTCTCAATAATTTAACTTTTATCTTATCTTTCATATAACACGATTATCTTTATCTTAATTGATTCCCAATATTATACTCGAACATTAGAAGCAAAACTTCCGTCTTTGGAATTGAAGAAAAAATGAGAAAATGAGATCTACTTTCCATACCCGTAGATAATATTTATTTGATAACTGTATTTTTCAAAAGTACAATTCACTGATATGTCACTGAATAAACTATGGCTAACACATTATGGCAGCTGGGAGTCCTTTGTTCTCCGCTCTCAACTTGTTTTAATGAACTAAAGAACAATTTATAAATATGATTGGTTCACAATGGACGAATTCCTACTTGCAAGATTGTTATGACATAACTATCAGTTGGGGCTAAGCAAGACTAACTACCCTACATGCGTTGGGTCAGACGAAACGTTACAAAAATACTATTTGGAAACAAACTCAACAATTGCTAACCATGATATATGTGCATGCCATCGCGTTTTTCATCATAGTTGAAAAATGCTTGTCTGAAGAAGTCTGACGTTGGTCAGACGAAACGTTACAGAAATATATTTGTGTTAATGTGCAGGACTCTTGAATAAAATAATTCTTATAACAGTTCATGTTATAGAATGGGCTATTTCTTTTATTTTCCCATTATCCTATTAATAGCAATTCTGTATCTTTTAATATTTGTAATCCACGGATTAGCAAACACAGTGACTTGAATTCAAGATTCTTCAAATATTTTAAATGAGATAAATAGGTTCATATGAATAATTTAGTGATTGCATATTTTAAGATAATTTTTTTATCAAATATTGAAAAATGGTCTTTCCCACTAATGTGTTATTTCCGCTTCAAA